TTCAACGTGAATATCAAACACCGATTAGAATAAAAAAAAATAGGCAATTGCCCATTTATTGACCAATGACCAGTTAACACTTTGCTGTGAATAAAGACTTGATTATATTGGTTTTGGCGGGTCCCATATAGTGATGATAGACAATGCTTTAATTATTCGTTTGGAAACATTAATAATGCTCACAAAATTTGATAATGTGCACACAGTTTTTAGATCGGGTAATTAAAATTAGAAGTGTATAATATATTGAAAATATTCTTTAATTTTATAATCTAAAATATATCATATCAGAAAAAAAAGAAAAGCAAAAACTAAAAGAATTATTAGGAATTGAACTATTCTTGAGATTTATTCGACTAATGTGAAGATCTTTTATTAAATTTTTAATCTTATATCAATGGTGGGCAAGGTGATGAGGGGTCCATATGGTCCCAATAATTGACACATTTGAATAACATAATAATTGTTGAAAATGATTTATTACAAGACCTATGAATTGATGGGTCTTTGGGACCTGTCTCCACTTGGATTCCTCATGTTTTTTTTTAATTAATTGAAGGAATACTCAAAGTCTATTGGAAGGTAAATTTTGAATAAACAAAAGTTAATGGAGGTGATATCCTTACGTCCTCAAATTAGGATGGGTTACGATTGACATCCAACCTTTGTTATTCGTAAAAAATAAATTATTTGTATTTAATGTAATACTGAAATGACTATCAATTTTGAGGTTAAAATAAATTATTTGTATTGAATGTAATATTGAAATGACTATCAACTTCTAGGTTACAAATATTTTTTTTAATCTCTAGTTAGTATTAGCCAAAAAAAAAGAGTAGTCATTTTTCTGCTATTGTAAAAAAACTATAAAATTTTTCAGATAAAATATGTGAACTATAAATTATATTTATTAATGAAACTTGTAACACCTCTCTAGTTACTCTTTTTAATACAATTTGATTCTTGTTTGGTCGTACAAAGTTCTCATCTTCCTTCTCCTTTTAGTTTCAAGATACATTAATTACCAATATATGATATTGAATCGTGAGATTCTCACTTGTAATTAAGGCCTTCTCCGTTTCCATTAAGATTAAAATGTTTGAATTTGAATATACATTTGAATAATAAGATTTGTATTAAGATTCAGATGTTTTGATCTGAATACACATCTGAATATTAAGATGTGGTCTTTAAATATGAACGCTAAATAATTAATATTGTTTGTTTTCAATATTTGAATGTGCATATGAAATTAACATCAAATTAATAAAATATCATAAAAATTTCATTTCAACAAAATATATCGCTTTTGAATTAAAAAGAAAATTTTAAAAGTTTTAATAATCATGATATGGAAGTACAATTTTTTTCATTCAAAAATCTTGATAAACGCCAATAAACCAACAATGTTTTTGACACGATCAATACAAGAAAATTATTAATATAAAAAAAATTTGAGGATTGATGAAAACTTACAAATTCAGAGAAAAAGAGTAATGTTTGATTGATAAAAGGGAGAAAGAAAGTTTTTAGTTGTGAAATAAAAAGGCACGCTTAAAGAAGCGATGATTTATTATTTGATAACTTATTAAATGAGTCTCAATGTTGTTAAAAGTTTTTTACATATCTGATATATTCAGACCTCTTCAAATCCATTAAGAGGCTTTTTAAAAAATAAAATAAATAAACTTAATGAGCTGAATATGAATAATTCAGATTCAAACCTAAAAATAAAACATACTTAACAGGCTGAATCTGAATAATAGAAATTCAAACTTCTATTAAGTGAAAACAAATAATTACACTCCTTACATAAAACATCTATCATTAAACTCTATATTACTATATAACAAGCTGACTAATAAGTGCTCATCCTTCTTTTATAAATTCGAATTTGCTATTATCCATCAAAAGAAGTTAATAAAATTCATTTTTACAGTTCCTCTTTTATTTTCTATTCCCAAAATTTCTATGTACATCATCATAACTCCTCAAATACTAAAATTGAACCAAAACATTAAATTTCGATATATCAATAACATATAGTCTCTTTCAGCTATTTATGTGACTCTTTTTTTCATGTTTAAGCAATCTTAAACTTAATAAGTTCCACCTATTAACAAAAAAAAGAGTTTATTAAGTTCGAATAAACCCTAGTCATGTATTCTCCAGGTCTTAACCTATGTGATCCTTTTCTCTCTTTATGTTTAATAAAAATTCAGTTTTAAACTTTTTATTTATTCTTAATAAAATAATTTATAATTATATAAATTTAATGACTTATTTCATACTATTAAATTTTAATTATTTTTCTGTTAAACTTTTATAATCAGTCAAATACCTCCACATAAATCAGAATATTAAACTCTAGTACCACGTAAATCAGAATTTTGCACTCTGCGTAGATACTTTTCCCCAAACTATGGAAACCTAAAATTCCTCAAAACATGGAGAAATTTGGAATATTCATAACCCACTGATTTGTACCTTTAATATGACGTCCCACACCTCTCCAATGCTCACCGTTAATGTCATTTTCCTTCGTAAAAAATGTTTTTACGGGAACCAAAAAACAAATCAAAACCTACACATCTTTTTCCAATTTCATCATCACATCTTTACTCCAAAAACAATAAGAGTTTAGCCAATCAAATGAAACAAAGTACTACATGTTTTTATATCTTTTGTACTACTTATTTCTTTGAGTCCGGAGCCTAAAGGGTATAAAATGTTAATAAAAATTCTAAAACGGTATATGAATATTTATTTTAACCAAAAGGGCAAAATCGCTTGAAGGACAGCGACTTTGCTTGCCAGAAAAAGTAAAATTGCTGCCTTGGCAGCGATTTCTAAAATATTTTTTAAAAAATAATTTTTTAATAAATCGCTCCCTAAGGAGCGATTTTCTTAATTTTTTATTTAAAATTAAAATTTTTTTTAAAAAA